AGGAGCTGGTTTCCAGGAAGGATCTTTTCCTCCCCCCTTCCTTCGGACTGGTTTGCAGATGCCCATATCAGGCCGAGCTCCTCGAGCTTGAAGCGGTGCCCGGGGCAATGGAGGAGCCCCAGAACGTGCGGTCTGCCCTCGGACCCCTTCATCAACAGCTTCAGGTCAATCCAGGAATGCTGCCAAAGAAACATCCACCGCTTCTGTCTGTGGGAAAAATAAGGCTCAAGTGCATCTATTAAAAAAATAGTAATAGATCTCTTGATTTATAGTCTGTCAACTATCCCAGTAAAAGAAACTAGAAAAAGGCAATGTGGGGCTGTGTCCCTGCAGGATGAGAACTGCAGAAATCTTTAGCAGCTTGTTCTTCAAACTGGGAGGCAGATAATCCTGCTGGCACTGATCCTGTCACGGAGGCGTTACGAGCACAGCTTCTGTTCCTTCTGCCCCTTTCCCCCGGGCGGGGAGGAGGAGGGGGGAGCAGGACCCTAGAAGACGGGCAGCCTGGTGGAGGTCAGCGTGCAGGCATTGATGTCCTCCGTGTGGGCGGCGCGGTGCAGGGATGGTTCAGAAGCACTCCGGTTGATTTTGGGTAGAGAATGTTGCAGCAGTTCAATGGACGACAGGATCTGAGGGAAACGAGGAAAATGAAAAGGGGGCTTCTTCAACAAGTGGCTCCTCCTGTTAAGTCTAAAACCGTTTATTATATTCGTTAAGTGTGTCATTAAGAGCAAAGTCAGGCTACGTGGAGGTGCTGGGGACGCCTGCAGAACAACACTCAGAGCTTCTCAAACAGCAGAAGTTACACTTGGTTGTAACAGCAAGAAGTTATTTTTCCAAAATCTGCTGCTATTTGAACACGGCTATTTAGTAAGAAAGCACCTTCATTATCCTCACAGTGACAGAAAAATTTAAAGATTTCTTTGTAAAACACCAAAAATTGCTACATGAGTTTAATGTCCCCCAGTGGATTTTGCCTGTTCATAGTTATGGGGAAAGTCTCTTGTTTCCCTCAAAACTACACTAAAAATAAATGTAAATACAAAGATAGATCTGGTTTTTGTAGAGGATTTTTTTTGCTTATCTCTAAAGCAGGTCAGCCGCTGGAAGCTGCTCTCCCGTCAGTCTGCACACGTGGTGGTTCTTGGTGACCTCCACCATCAGAATTCCAAACTGCCCAAGGCAGCTGGGCTATCAAAAATGCACGTATGAATAAAAACAAAACCAAGAGGAGGGCTGCAATGTATAAAGCCCAAAACTTCTGCCTGTGTAGAATGTTTTGTGTGCTAATGGCTGTTTATCAAGTACTCAGAAACTTCCAGGCAGAAAAAACACACTTACTTGTGGAAAGAGAGGTCGTTCTTCCCTAACCTTCTTCAAACAGTCTGCTACAAGCCTCTTCATTGCCTTGGGGCAGTTCTTGTACAATTTACTGAGGTCAGGAGAAGCATACCCTCGGCCCACCATGAAAATAATCTGAAAAACACAGAGAAAACCAAAGCTGCAAAAGCTGCTTCATTGCTCGATCAGCTTTAGCATCCCAAAAATGACTGAATGTGCACACCAAAGGCATGTCCACACCAAATGCATGTGCAGCAACAGAGCCCTGGAGGTCTGTCCAAAACCAGGGTCCTGCTCTGTGTGTTGCAGGACCTGGCTAAATATTAATTCAGTGAGACAGTGCTCTTATTTCTTTTTCAAGTAACCTCATCTCAGAAAAAAAACAAAAACAAAGGTCAGTATAATGTTGCTAAAATAAGAGGTCAGTGTTGTTGTCCAGGAAATATTCTATCCGAAAAAAACTTTGGTGAGGGTCAAGTGTCACATGTTTTCCAACAGTAATGATTATTAAAGCTTGCATATAACTTTAATATTACAAATTAAAACTCATTGCAATATCCCAATTTGTAGATAATCTTAAAAATAAGAAAAAAACTTCCTTAGCATAAATGGCCTTTTCTATTTGGAGAACAGACAACATAAGAGGGGATGAAACTGTGCGGTTTGTCCCCATACACAAACACTACTCATTGCAGGGTCTTAATTAAAGAAAAAACAACAGAACACACAAACCACAAGCGAGGATCAGCAAAATAGAGCTCAAAAACCTCTAACAGACTTAACTTCGTGCCCTAGAACTTGCTAAGCCAGAGAAATCATTCATGGAAAGGGAGTAACTGAGGTGTCTGTCCTTCATGTGCTGCTTCGTAGCTGGTTAACTGACTGGTAAGAATACAACTTAGTAAAGACTAAATCACACAAACTAATGTTCAATATCAAAAGGTTTGACAATAACACTTTTTTTCCCACTTTGTAAATAAACAACCCAATCTTGCTGATACAAGAACAGCTTGTTTCACATCAAGGGAAAAATTTTACATAACCACAAATACATAAAATGAGGTTTTCATGACATAGCAAAAGCTTTAACCCATAAATAAATTGACAGGGCACTTAAAATGTTTCTAAAAATAGATGATTTTTTTTCCCTTTGAGTAACTGTCACTGTCAGTATTTAAATAAGTATTCAGTTACCCAGATTTAGTGAAACAAATAATGTTTTAAACGATGTCTCAAGTCTTGGTTTGCATTTGTCTTCATCTGGTGTTTCCTGAGGACAACAAAATCTTCAAAGATTTCAGAGAACGTTCCCTACCTGATCTCGGTTGTTGATGTGGGAGTACGGCAACTCTCCTGTCATTAGTTCATATAATACTATTCCATAGGAGTAGACATCTGACTGAAAACTAAACGGGTTACTATCCTGCATCCGTATCACTTCTGGTGCCTGTGGGAGGAGGAAAAAGGAAACAAATGATGAGCAATATTAACAAAACTTAGAAAGGACAAGAAAAGGGGAAAACAGTGAGCTCCACCAAAAATGAGTGAACAAAGGGTGCCTCAAAACCTCTAAGGTGTTTTACTTAAGGCCCTGGAAAAGTTCAGGCAGTGCTACTCTACATCTTATTAATAAATATCAATACAATTGAGAATAAACCAACAAGCAATGCTTTAGTTCAATGAGCATTTTATCACTAGAAAAATTATTATTCCAGTTTGCAATATTTATTGGCTTTTGTTACATTGTGCATACAACCAAGTCTGAGTCTCTCACCATCAGTTCTTAAGCAGGTATCGATGTTAAAGGGGAAAACATAAAGCTCTCATACAGACTGAATAACCTCTTGTAAAATTGATACCAAAACATTTACATGGAATGTGAAAGCTAAATGGGAAATAACTTATCATGAAGATCAGGGAAGAAATGTGAGAATGTTCTTGCATCTTTGCAAAACAAAGCAAAACTATGAAGCTTAAGAACCTGAAAGAACACTGAATGAATTTAATAAATCCAGGTATAAACCATTAAAGTATCTTTCCTGTTGACTTAGACTTTTTTTTTGCCTAATGAAGTGCCTCAGAATTACTGAGCAAAGTACCAGTTAAAGTACAACAGTGCAACAACAAAAACCCAGCAAGAAATTAGATCAGCTTTCAAGGAAATAGAATCAACATCCCCTTCTAGGTAATGACAACTCAGCAAAGATGGCCTACAAATGATTAAAACGGGAAAAAAAACCCCCCACACCCTGCACGGAGCAGAAAGGCAGGTTTTTTCCCCAGATCCATTTCATATCTATATCTATACCATTAGGTAAAATCCTAATTAATCCTAAATTAGCTTTAAATCCTTTTGATGGAAAAGATATAAAATGTACCAATAAATTGCACTCAGCAAGTCATTTTTACTTGGTTACACCTCCCCGAAGTACAGGTCACAAATGTTGCTGCATGCACGGGAGCTAAAAAATACTGCTCAGTCCACACATGGAATTTAAGTAAACTGGAATTTACTAACAAAAGCAGGTCTAGAGATACCTCAGCAATACACTTGAGTGCTGAGGACATTCTCATGCAATTTTAGCAATGCTTTTTCACCAGGTAAGAGGCTCCGTTCCACTTTTCCATTTACTTTATCAAAGTCCCACTTTTGAAGTTATGAGCTAGATTTTCTCCAGGTGATTTTTGGAAGGACCACTGTGGAATTGCCTTCCAAGTTTGGGCAGAAGCTCAACATAAAGGAATATCCTCTCAGACAAGGACGTTGCTGTACCAGAAGACACTCCAGAAGATTTCCGGCAGAACCTGAGAACTGCTATCCCAAACTGTCAGGCACCTGCAATGGTTCTGAGCAGCCCCAACAGCCACCACCACAGCTCTCTGGGGCGGGGTGAGGGGCGGCCTCACAGCAGTAGCTTGGTACATACGACATGTCTTGTCACAGCACCAAAGATGAACCGTGCCTGTTCCTGTTCCTCAGGAAGCACTCTCCATCCTCCACCCAGCCCCGTCAGGACGTGTGTGTGAGAAGGGAACTTCATTTCAACTTGTCCTACAGATAGACAAGAGTCTACCCCGCACTGACAGCACACGCTGATTCGTTTAGGCTCCAAGCTTTAAAGCAGTACTGGGCAGACCAAGCCCAGATGCACAACCGAGAGGCAGATTTAACAGCAGCAGAGTGTTTTGCTCACCATCCACAAGATCGAACCAGTGGGCTGCTCCACCTGCTGGGATCCACTCCACCTGGATTTTACAGTGGCCAGACCAAAGTCTCCTATTTTCACCGTGAGGCCTTCATGAAGAAATATATCTAAGCATTTGTTAAAGATATTCTGGCAAATCCTCCAGTAAACAATTCTCAACTTCCTGATAGGATTACAAAGTGTCTGGTTATCATGAACACAAGCCATATTATCCAAGAATATTGCTGACTTCTTTTTAAAACCTTCTACGAATTGTATCTTAACCAGAGGAACAGTAATTTTATGGTATCCATATTTACAGAGTCAACATTTAAGGCTAAACAAGAGCAGATCTTTCAGCATTTTTTGTACCTTTATCTTTATGGTTGATTAGGACAGAAACAAGCTGTTGATTAACATCAATGACTGCAGGTATTTAACTAGTGTCAAGAGACTGACACAGGGAAAAAACAGACGGCATCACAACTTAAACTAAGAAAAAATGACATGTAGAAACATCAAAATATCAAAATTCTATCTATTTTCATAAAGCTCTCTGGCAGATCTGAGATTTAACGATGATTTAACTATTTCAACTGGAAACACACACTTCTGTATGATCTGTAATCCATTTATTTAATAGATTTCTCTGTTGAGACACCAACACTTTTCTTTCTTGGGGTTATTTTAAGAAGATACCATTTTACAATTTCATTTAAGAATGTTTTAAGTTCAAAAAGATGTTCAGAAACAAACATGATAGACTCCTAGTTCTCATTTCCAGGTCAGGAGGAGTTAACTTACTTCATAAAAATGGTCACCATTATCAGGAATTGCAAACTCCTTCATACTAGAAGGATTCTTTTTCTGGCTTAAATAAAAATGGGAATTTCCTTACATTATGGAACTACTGAATTTGGTGGTGTTTTTTTTTTTTTTTTTTTTATGCTGACACTTGCAAAACATTCTTTCATAAAATGTGAACTGAAGTTATGGTTTATGCTGCCAGCTCAGTGGATGCTCTTCTCAGCCATATCAAATGCAGGCATTTTCAAAGGCAAAAGACCTCAGTTCACAACATCTTTACTCCATGTGCTTTACTAAATCTGTATTGTTGCAAAAAATTAACAGTAAAAGGCTGCCTTTCCTTGAGTTTAAATGAAGATTTTTGGCTTCATTTCTTCCAGTGATGTGAAGGTGGTTTAGATTTAGTAAAAATATGCGGAAAACAGTAGAGAAAACGCAGAGGCGTACACAGATGTCAGCAGCCACACGTGTCTTCATGTCCCGTCACAAGCACAGCTTCTTTTTTGAGTAACAGAGAACTACATAAACACCATTTCAGTAAAATAGGACACTTTTGGAGCATATCTATCACAACATTTGGTAAGCAAGTACGTATACTCCATCAAAGTCCTGGCTAAAAAGTAACTTCTTGCTCATCAACAGGCAGTTACATACAGCTGTTTTAACCCCCCAAAGCCTCCCCTAGAAGTCTGTTACCAGCAAATCTCTCCCATTACAGGGAGTAGCACTGAGTCAGGCAAGGATACTATTGGATTTCATGTCTCTGTGGATGATGTTCTTTGCATGCAGGTAGCTGTGGAAGAGAAAGCAGAAGGGCAGTTAGGGGGCTGCTCCCAGCAACCCGGCCCTTGCTCTGCCGACAGGCTCCGCGGGGCTGGTGACACCCTCCAGTGTCCCACAGCCCTGTGCCGTGTCTGTCACTCCCCGGGGCAAGGTCCTACAGCAGAGCCGGGGCTGACATGCCGGGTGACCCCACAGCCCATGGAGAGGGGAGGCAGCCCAGCAAACCCGGCGGCAGAGAGCAGGGGCAGCGGGGTCCCAGGCGGGGCACGGCCCTAGGGAACGGGCTGCTCTCCCCGGGTGCACCACGGCTGTCCATATCCTGAGGGTTACTTCTGAACTTGCAGTCACAACACGTGACACAGAATCACAGAGTGGTGGGGTTGGAAGGGACCTCTGGAGATCATCTCGTCCAAGCCCCCTGCTCCAGCAGCTCACCCACAGCACGGTGCCCAGGGTGGTGTTTATGTGGGTTTGGAATCTCTCCAGAGAAGGAAACTCCACAACATCTCTGGGCAGCCTACTCCAGCCTCTGCCACCCTCATAGGAAAGTTTTTTTTCTCCTGTTCAGATGGAGCCTCCTGGGTTCCAGTTTGTGCCCATTACCCCTTCTCCTGTCACTGGGCACCACCAAGAAGAGTCTGGCCCCATCCTCTTGACACCTGCCCTTTAGCTCTTGATCAGCGTTGATCAGATCCCCTCTGAGTCTTCTCCAGCTCAACAGCCCCAGGGCTCTCAGCCTTTCCTCAGCACAGAGATGCTCTGGGCCCCTCAGCATCATCATAGCCTCTGCTGGACTCTCCAGTCATTCCTTGTCTCTCCTGAACTGGGGAACCCAGCGCTGGACACCACGCTCCAGATGTGGCCTCAGCAGTGCAGAGTGAAGTGGCAGGAGAACCTCCCTCAACCTGCTGGCCACACTCTTCTCAATGCACTCCAGGAGACCATTGGCCTTCTTGGCCACGAGGGCCCATGGCTGGCTCATGGGGAACTTGCTGTGCACCAGCACTCCCAGGCCCTTCTCCTCAGAGCTGCTTTCCAGCAGGTGAGCCCCTCACCTGCACTGGTGCAGGGGGTTCTTCCACCCAGGGGCAGGACTCTACACTTGCCCTGGTTGAACTTCATGAGATTCCCCTCTGGTCAACTCTCCAGCCTGCCCAGGTCTTGCTGAATGGCAGCACAGCTTTGGTATGTCAGCCACTCCTCCCAGTTGTGTACCATCAGCAAACTGGCTGAGGGTCCATGCTGTCCCTTCATTGATGTCATTGATGAATGTTGAACAGGACTGACCCCTGGGGAACTCTATGAGCTACAGACCCCAACTGAGACCCTGCACTGCCTATCACAACCCTCTGAGCTCTGTCATTCAGCCCATTCCCAATCCACTCTGTCCCCAGTTTTATGCCTGGAAACCCATGCCCTGCTTTACACAACAGGAGAGCACTGTCAGCATCAGCACATCCTATGCTATGAACACTGTAACATGTTCTGAAAGAGCACTGAGGTGCTTACTGTATCAACTCGGACATCTGGAGAATGCTTCCAAAAGACATCTGTGCGTGTGAGCCCTGTGGCTGCAGGGCAGGAACAGCCACCCCCTCACCTCACAGAAGTACCCCAAGTATGAATCAGGGGTTGCCAAACATAGCAATGTTATCATAACACTGGGAAGGAAATCAACATTTAATTCTCACCCAGTGCATTGCAGTAAGCCCTCAAGCTACAGGAGGAGATAAAATACAGAAAAGCTCACTGTTCAGTGACTGGTGGTCTAGCATGAACTAACGCCAGAACCCATGGGGAAAAAAATACAAAATGAAAGTGAGAATGCAGAGCCAGTGCTGAATGAAGGCTGCACTTTAAGTTTTGGGGAAGTGAAGAGCAGCACCATTCCAAGAACAAGAGCCAGCATTGCTCATCCCACTCACTCCATTCCCTGTGCTGTCTGCCGGGCAATGTCAATGAGCTGGAACATTTGGAACTTGGTCTCTTGCACGTGCAGGTGTTTATACAGACTGCTTCCTTCACACCACTGCGTCACGATGGCCAGGTTATCTTTAGTCATGTAACCCATGAATAGCAAAATATTCACGTGCCGAGTCTTCCTAATAGCAAGGAGCAGAAAGAGAAATTAATGTGTTTATGGAAAACCTTTTCAAATTCCTTTAAAAATGCATTCTTGTCTGAAGGAATCTATTTCAGCTTTTGAGTTCAAAACCATTAGTTTCCTGCAAAATTTTTGGTAGGGGTGTGTGTGTGTGTGTGTGTGTGTGTGTGTGTAAAGTTTGTTGCTAAAAAATAAAAATCTGCCACACTTGCCAATTTATAGTTTTTAAATAAAGTCAACTGATTTTCTGCTTTTTAGTTAAAACACTTCCTTTTCCTTCCAAGGAAATTATTTAAAATTTGAAGAAAAAGTTGTCATGAAAATTCAAAGTGTTTGAAATCAGTAACATTCACACTTGTAAGTGGTATTAGATAAGGTTATTGGAATAACAGAAATCAATCTGAAAGCTGTGAAAAAAAGTGACAGCTTTAGATGGAAGACTGAATTCCAACAGGAAACTAAGAGTCATTATAAACTGTGAAGGAACTAAGAGATGAGAAGATAGTTCCTACATCCTCTAGCTGGGTCAGTTTCAAGATTATCATTAGAGAGAGGTGAACACTACAAAAACAGCATTTGAAAGCAGAAAAGAGCTATGTAGATTAGAGTATGCATTAAAAAACAAAGCAAAGAGAAATACAAAGAAAAGATGTCTGTCAGAAACACTGAAGAACCACTGAAATACTCTAAATGCTGACTGCTGCCTCACAGCTCCACAACAGTATTCTGAAGTACTGCTACATGCTCTCTTTTTTTTCAGTCTTCTCTGGAGATCTGCTTTTTGTGTCTATCAGACATAGAATATTGGATAAGATGGCATAAAGGAGAGGTGGAAGACAAATACAGTGCCTCGGAATAAGAGACTTCAGCAATGAAACTACCTGCTCACCTTAATACAGCCACTTCATTTCTGAAAGCCTGGAACTGCTCTGGGGTGGGATCTACAACCTTTAGTATCTTCACTGCTACATCTCCTGAAAATACATTTACCATGGAAGTTAATAAAAATGCAGCTTTTTTTCCCCCAAAAAAATAATGCACAGTATGCTTACAATTCCTAAGTTTGCACAGTACCTCTCTATTCATCTGTACATAGGTCAAGATCCTCCCGCAGACATATATCTCCCTTGCTATCAAGCAATTCATTTACCTGAATTCCAGTCTAATGGAAAAAGTCATTAAATGTTCACATGCTTCCACTCTATTTTTTAACAGCAGCTATGGCCAGAACTACACACATGCTTTTTGCAGGATATAAAGCTATGAAAATCTCAAATCGTTGAAAAGGAAGGTATGTTTGTGTAGCTGTATTTGCAGCACATCATTTCAAGCAGAGCCACATCAGTCTCTCAGCTTTCAAACAGGAAGTTTATACAATTAAGTTTATATACAACTAAACTATATATATGTATATACACAAATCCTTTTAAAATATAAGCTTTATTTAAACCCAAACTTTCTAGATTTAAATACTGCTAGATTTCAGGAATGGGAGGGATAAATCTCTTCAGGAATAGCAGAAAAATGTTGCACAAGGTAACTGATTTTAGTATTTCAATAGCAAAGTGTGGGGACTACACAAAGCAGAACATCTTACTACTCTTTAAGTTGATAGGTTATAAAATTTTCGTTAAAAGCTTCATTTGAATGGCTGTCAGTGTCAGTGCTTACTTTAAATTTCAGTATCTGTTAAAGGGTAATAAGACAGAGGTATATGGGATGATCCAGTGCTACCTGTTGAGAGACTGTTTCCAGGGAATGAAGCTGTAAAAACCTTTACACAGCATGCGTCCAGAAAACAGCAGAATTTAACTGATTCAAAAAAGGTACAAGAGTGGAATGAAGCCAACTGGTCTAACAGAAGTGAAAGCACTAACAAGACCCACCAACTCCTCAGTGAAAGCAATGTCACATCCATTTTAACTATGGAGGGACAGCCTTTTAGAACTTAAGAAGGGGATCAGCTTGCCTTGACACTGTCACAGGAAGGTAACAGCAGCTTAGGAAAACTAAAACTTCAACCTTAGTCTGCATGCAAAAGAAAGATTTGAGAGCTGCTAGACTGCCACACAGGCTTTTCCCCACAGTTTAAAGGCTGCTGCAACTTCACAATCATCACCTAAATTAAAATAATCCCTAGAGTGACAGATTTCTCTGCTACCAGAATTGCTAATTTTCACCTTAATATGGTCACTTTTCTGATATGAAAAATGTGTTAGCATGTCTCTAGAATATACTGATCAACTGAATACATTAGGAATATTAAATGCCCAATTAAAAAAACGAGTTGGCAACAAAGCATGGGAAGAATATGCTGGCTGGTACTTGAGTTCCAGAGCAGCCCGAGTGGAGTGCAGCAGTGTCACTGTAGGCACACTTGCTGCTTCATTCGCTGTATAGTTTGAAGTTGCAAAGAGGCACAAATCCTGAGCACATTATTATACATTTCTATCATCAACTTGAGGAAATGCAAAGTATGTCCTATTTCATCCTTGGAAAGAGAAGCACCTCTGCAGGCTGGTTCGTAACTTACACATCTCTGCTTACAGACCAGAGCTGGAGAAAACAACTGGTAGGAAGAGGAAGACATCCCCTTTCCTATCACAACCCAAACCACAGGCTGGGAAGCAGCTGGTTCCTACTGCCACTCCTGGTGATGTCCCACACAAGGCCAACAGATGGGTCACCAATGCTTCAAGTCTACTGCTATGGTCTACACCCAGACCCACTTATTGCAGGCCAAATGTTTCCAAATTCTTTTTCAATATATTCTCCATTACAATCCTCACTCCACAGACGAGATGTTTTTAACCTTACACTCTTCTCACTGAATCAGGTGCCACACTGTTTTTTAGGCTTGATGGCATTTCCCAAGCAGTTTTCTCTACAAAAACAAATACACAATAGCACTTTTTTTGTTCACCATCCATCTGAAGACAAATCAGCTTCCACCACCACCCCCCAATCACCGACACCCTAGAACTGATTACCAGGGCCAAAGGGGAAATGTGAGTGTTTACGATAGGTAGTCTTCCAACCCATTTAAACTGCCTTGGTTCTCTTTCCGCCTTTTAAATTTAGAAGCATGCTACAGGACACTACAGGATCCAAATGGGGTCTGTAACAGAAGTGGTGCAAACACGAAAATTAGTACTTAACCATCAGAACCATCTGAAAAAATATGGAAGTGCAAGACAGCTGTTGAACCAGACGTGCGCTCCTCAGAGCAAGCCTGCCCTTGACACTTCAGTTTTAATTTGGAAGCTGGGGAAGCCTACTGGGAACCCAATACAGTTGGTACTTAGTTGTACACCATCCTCCACAGATGCTCTCCAAAAGTTCACCACAAACAGCCCCTCAGAGCCAGCCACGTTGGGGAACCTAGCACCTCAAACTTCAGACCTACAGTTTCCTCCAAAGCTTGCAGCAGTTTGCCCACTTCAGTTAATCTCATTTAGCTTCAGCAAGACACTTTTTTGCTGAAAAAAAATTTTTAAAAATTTGTACCACTAGAACAGGTTGCTACAAAAAAGTCTGCAGCTTCACTCATTTGCACTGCGACCTGCCAGTTTCTTCAACATTAAATTGAAAAGACTTGCAAGAAGCAGATATTTTTAAATCTTAAGACCATACCACAAAAGATGGGTTAAAAAAAAAAAAAAAAAAAAAAGAAAGAGTAAATCAACTTTCCTGAGAAATCAGGGAAAGTATAAACCATTACCACAAATAAGGTATTGAATCTTGTCGATGCCAAGGCAGGAGACAGCTCTACAGCTATTTGCTGCACACAGCTGAGGGGTCCCTGCTAAAGAGGCAGCTCCATGTTTTTCCTGCTTAACATGCCAAAGGCCTTGATACGTGAAGAGTTGCAAATGTTTTGTTAATATACATATATTAACAAAAAATTCTCATTTGTTTAGTGAAATCTCTCTTAACCTGTTTTTCCTCTTCATTTCTCTGTTCCGTTTCACTTATATTATGAAAAACTGTTTAAATGTTCATGACTGTAACTTTCAGCATAAGAACAGTCCTTCCATTGATGTTGACAATATTTGAGCTTTAAGACATACAAGTATTCTTTAAGTATAGAGTGTGGAAGATTAAGTTTCCAGATTTCTTTCCTCAGCTTACTTTGACAATAACACTGTTTAAATTAAGGCCTGGAGGGGTTGGTGTGTGTTACTTTTTATATCACGAGCCCTGAATTTTAAAACTAGTTCTGCAGTTCTGCAGTGTGCCTCCTTTCAAAGTACTCCAGCTAACTTTGTATCATAAACTCTCATGTCAATCATTTTTTCCTTAGAAAAACTCTACAGTAAAAGCCATTTATGCGTATTTCCTTTCCCTGCCACTTTGAATGTAAGCATGCTAATAAAGCCACAGAGGTATTACAAAAAAAAAAAGTTAATATATTTTCACAGCAGGCTGTGAAATTTCCCAGCTGATTCTGCTAATGGAAAGTGAAATCTTTCCAGAAAAAAAGCTCAAATGTTGCCTCCAATGCAGCGAGCATCTAGACGGCAATTGTGCAATTCAGATTTTGGTACCTGTTCTTCATCTTAATTTCCCCATTGCCAATATTAGGAAATTAGTATTTCTCACATAGTACTTTTGGCGGTAGATAAGCATGCAGCATCACTGAAAGCAATTTTACCTTTTTCTGGATCTCTCTCATACCATATCAACATTTTGAGAAGGTGATAACGATCGTCAAGAACTTACCATGCCATTTGCCTTTGTAAACTGTTCCAAAAGAACCTGACCCTATTCTGGTAGAAAGCATGACTTCACTTGCTTCTATTTCCCAGTAGTAACTGGAATCTCTCTGTCCACGAGGCCTCTGAAACAAAAATTGACATGGCTTTCACTCCAAATATTTAATCAACTATATATACAGAGCAAGAACAAAATAACTACTTTCATATTAGTTTAAAATTGCACCAAAACCTTGAAGGTTTTGTGCTGCAGTTTGGACTTCATTTTTCTCCTTCATTTCTGCACTTGTTTAAAAAAAAAAAAAAAAAAAAAAAAACCAAAAACAAAACCACAAAAACAACACAACACCCAAACTAAACATTTTCTTGGATGGCTTGAACTGATTAAGAAGCTATCCTTAAGGTCTGCACTAAAAACTTAAACCCCGAGCTTAGATCTTACAAAGTACAAATGTTTTATAATCAATTATTTAAAGACATCTGAAATACTTAAGTGACTTACCGACTTTTTCAAAATTGCAATACTAAAATTTAGAAACTCATTTCTATATTTTAAAGGAATAAAACAAAAAGATAAGAGCAAAACAAAAAGATGAGAGCAGAATTCTCAAACATCTAAGTGGTTAACAGCTGTGAGTCCCACTAAGCAACTGCACTGTTATTTTTAAAATCTGATAAATCTTCTCAAAAAATCAAGACATTATTAATTATTATTCTAACTTTCCTTTCTTTCCCTCTGCCCCTAAGCTTAAATCAAGCCTTTGAGGGAAAACTTGCATTTTGTTAAGTCTGTTTTTCCCTGAGACACACTGAATACCTTAACCATGAAAATGACAAGCATATTTAAAAAGAATAAAAATGACACAGCACCCTTGAAGATTTCAAAAGGGAATCATAGAATCATAGGGGTTGGAAGGGACCTCGAAAGATCATCTAGTCCAACCCCCCTGCCAGAGCAGGGTCACCTAGAGTACATCACACAGGAAGGCGTCCAGGCGGGTTTTGAATGACTCCAGTGAAGGAGACTCCACAACCTCTCTGGGCAGCCTGTTCCAGTGCTCCGGCACCCTCACAGGAAAAAAATTTTTCCTGATATTCACCTTGAACCTCCTATGCTCCAATTTGCACCCGTTACCCCTTGTCCTATCACAGGTCAACACTGAAAAAAGCTTAATTCCATCTTCCTGACACTCACCCTTTACGTATTTGTAAACATTGATGAGGTCACCCATCAATCTCCTTTTCTCCAGGCTAAAGAGACCCAGCTCCCTCAGCCTTTCCTCATAAGGGAGATGCTCCACTCCCCTAATCATCTTTGTAGCCTAATCTCTGAACCTGTACTGAAAAATTATTTCACAATACTGTCTGAAATTCATTTTCAAGCCAGAACACTTTGTCCAGAGTATTTATAACACAATGCAATAGTGCTCTCCTTCCCAAGTTAGTTAAAAATATATCACCATTATATACACACAGTGCAGAACAAACCAAGATTGCCACGAGCTTTTATTACCTTTTAAGTACAGAAGTTTATTCCAACATGCCACTACTCCCAGCCTAGTTTAACATATAGCAAAAATAAATCAAATATTACAGTACTTACAATTTTGTTTTTTTCTTGCGTATTTGACGCAGGGGCTCGCTCTCTTTGGGCTGGGACTGGGGTTTTGGGCTGAGACCAGCCAGTTGGGCTCATATTGTTAGGGCTTCCCGACAGAGCAGACGGTGAGGCTTAAATATAAAACCAGAAGAAAACCAGCTCATGAACCAGAAATTAATCATAAATTATAATTTTTTTTTTTTTTTTAAACCATACCTGATTCACTATGGGTTCGAATTGCATCCTAGAACAGAGAGGACAGATAATAAAGTTAATATATGCAAGCTTAAGAAGGAACAAGCAGGAAGAGTGTCGAAATCATTCCTGACAGTTTGGGTGAAGTGTGATATAGTATTGGCCAACACCCTCCATAAGATGACAGCTTGGTTATTTCCTAGTTACAAGACCCTTATGTGCTGAAAAACATGCAATTTGTGAACTCTTACAAAACATGAAGAATATTCACAGTATATTAAAAGTTATTACTAAGAAAAAAAAAAAAAAAAAACAAAAACACAACAAATCAAAAGAGACAGAACAAGAAGAAACACCAGAAATACTCTGCATTCCCACCATGAGACTTTTGAACATGCTTGTGTCTGAGATGTGAACACAGCTCCTCTGAAGGGCCTGTAGTTCTAGGGGACAAGTGCTCAAAAAGGTCTTTTGGAAACACTTTTTAAAGCCCCTAGAATATTCCAAGTCAAAGTATATTTTGAAAGATCTGTATGGTACTATCGCAACCCAAAAATGACTGCATCTAGTGCCCTAACCCCAAACCATCTAGTTTTCAGGACACTTTCCCCCAGGTTGAGGTTTGGTGGTATCTGGAAAGCACGTTCTTGCAGAGTTCACTAGTCGGTACAGTGCGACAGCTCTCGCCTCATGCCACAGGCACTTTACAACACGATTCTACAGCCATGCACAATATCAACTCAGCTCTGACAAACATGACTTCACAGCTTTTCTCACCTGCTAGGCATTATCCCAAAGTACATACGGGAAAGGTAAAATATCCAGGTACTGTGTAAGTACAAAGCAAGAACATGCACTACAGAAATGTTAAACACTGTCAAAGTTAACAGAAGTCAATTCAAAGTTACTAACTGGTTAGTAGAATAATAAAGGTAAGATTCACAGGAGGACAGAACAAGCCTACATTCCACCATACAGTTTCAAATTCAGATTATCTTTAGTAAAGATTCATTTACGAAATAGATCATTTTAGCCAGCTAACTGCATTCTCCCAGGCTTGACTGGATGTAACAGGCAGTATTCCTGCAGAGTACCTCTCTAGCCTACACCTGAATGGGTTAAAATCTGCATAAACCACCAACAAAGGACTCCTGCAAGTTTCTCCTTTTGTCCATTTTGAGGACCACAAAAATCTTTAAAGAACCTGTATTAATCACAAGCGATGGGTTTTGTACACCAGCCTGAGAATGTCACTGCTCTACGTACACTGGCAAAGGATAACTACATTATTTTCAATTTTCTCATACTAATGTAAGCGTAATTCTTACTTAAGAAAAGTCTTTTTGAACTTCAATCCTGATGTGAATGTTTTCTTTCTTGCTTATGAATCCTACAGCAAATGAACCCAAAACAGTGTTCTTTAGGGTTGTTCTTACAACACAAATAACACCGTACACAGCGCTGTAGTCTGTTACCTTCACTTTGATTTGAAATAAAAATAGTACATCATGTTCTTAATCTAAGGGGTTTGGATGGTTATATTCAACCACATAGTTTCCAGAGGAGAAGCGCCACAATAGATGTGTTTGAGGCAGTTTTGGTTTAAAAACTGTGACAAAATAAATCTAATCCAAGTCTATTCAAATGCACACTAAATTTCATAATGGTATGGATTAATTCAGCTAAACTAAAAATGAAGCTCTTCTATTAATTTGCCTCTTTCAATTAGCATCCTTAATAGTTAAGTATAAACATGCTATAAATATTTTCATCAAATCAACTCCAGATTAAACATTTCATGTGGACACTGCCATGATTTATAAGTTATAGCAATCCTGTTAATCACAAGAAAACAAAAGGCACCAAAAATATACCTACTCTTCCCCTCAAACAAAACCGTCTGCACCAGGAACTGGGAGAAGCATTCAGGCTGTTATTCTAGGCCAACACAGTAAGAGATAAAAGAAAAGAACAGAGGAAGTATAAAAAAAAATAAAAGTTAGGATAAATGGAAGAAAAAGTAACCTGATTTGTTTGCTATATCAAATACAATTTATGAACTATTCAATGGGGTAAAATTTTTCAGTTAGTATTCCTGTTCAAACACAGAAGTATGCTAGTATCCATCCTCTGGAAAACCATTTTATTAAGTGGTCTTCCTCATGTCACACTAGGTCTCTAGTACCTTCCTTGGGGTGGGTTTAACTTTTTTTTTTTGTTGTTTTTAAAGCCTTTTGCAAAAGCAGCTATTATCTTTTAAGACATGACAGTAATTTCTGTTCCATCCCTATATTCTGAAGGGCCAGAACAGAAAGCATTTCTGTCTTTCCTGCTCTTCATCAAGTATAAAGAAAGCAACATCTTCTTCACGGCTCACCACACTACAAAGTTTGATAATCCATATTCTCTTTCTTAACTCCATTATTTTTTTGTGTTAAGATGGTCAGCCAGGCTTCTGAAGCAGTAAAATTGGCTGTGAGCCTAAGAAAACCAAAGAGAAAGGCACAAAGCTTCTAACCAGAAAATCTCTTTCCAGTGAAAAGTGCTCTTTTCATCAATACCAAAAATCCAGAAGACTTTCCCAGGACTTTTCAGAGCCCTCACACTTCACAGAAGCCCACAGACTACCAGCTGGAGACGCAGGTAAACTCGGCAGTCGAAGGCTTTTGCTGGGCCTGAAGAATTGTTCAGTTACTCCAGAGGAAAAGCCATCCACGCTCTCTCTGGAGTCCTGCAGTTCAGCACCTCCTTTCTGCAGGCCTTGCCTGTGCCCACTCTCTGATTTTGTGAAGTTTTTCACAAACCTACACAAAAAAAACCCCAATGCTTGATGCCTGACTTCAAAGAGCTGTCTTTCACTACTGCCAATCTAAGGCAAGGAAAAAAAAAGAGGAAAAGGTGCTTGAAGGCAGGTCACAGCAGAAAGCATCTCAGGGGTAGATGGCTTTAGTGCACGAGCCCAGAATCCCTGGGCATTCCAGAGGCGTAACACAATCCAAACTGCCAGTAAGCTTTGACTTGAACCTTCCAACCCTCAGAACTACATCCAGACCTTACAGTACCTACAGTCTGATTTAAAATAAACACCAGCCCCCCAACAAATCCAGACCGAAGTTTGAAAGAAGGTTTTTACACGTGCTTAATAACTATTTTTTCAGCAAAACTGAGCTAACTTTGTTTTCAGATCTGGGAAGCTGGATTGTTAAGCTCGCTCACATCTTCATAAAAATCTACCTCAAACTTCAGCAAAGGTGATCAAGACAGCAAGAATAAACTATTAGCTTTATAAGCAAATGTGTCACCTATATTCTACAGCACTCAGTCAACTAAGGTGAAAAGCAAGCAAACAACAGAAAGGAAAGAAAAAAAACCCAACTAGCCTATTAGATGGCTAGTCATAATTTTAGTTTAATTTTATGCTATTACCAATATTACCTCAATTATCCGGCTGTCTACTGGCATTGTAGTGCTAACCATGTGGACATTTGGTGTGGATGTAGATCGCTGTCTTTGGGAAAGGGAGCCCTCAGAAGAAGGGTTTGATGTGTTGAATGTGAAGGCATGAGGTGTAGAATACCTGTGCTGGGAACTAGGAAGGGAAGAGAGAGAAGAGGAAAGTTGTGGTTATTTTTTTTCCCCCCTTCTAACGAGTAAAAAATACTATTCAATGTAACCTGTCCAAAAGCAATATACACAGAATTCCAAACAGAGAAAAAGTTGAGACTTGCATGCTAACTAAACAATTTGGTCAGCAGAATCATTCCCAGTTGAACTCTGGAAATAAATTTTTAAAACTTGAAGATCTTGTTAGCTCACACATTTATCAAGTGTATTTAACCCCAGTCTGTTTCCGCTGCTATAAATTTCACCACAGTTCACTACAATCCCCATCAATTCACATTTAATATACTGAAAGAATACTGGCTCTGCTGGATTAATTTAGGTCTATGAAGTTTAAACAAATTTCTCATTACAATGTATAGTTTCAGAGGTGCTTTTACTGCCAAGCCCCGAGTTTGTAAAGGTTTGCAAGACTGTTCGACGGTTTGCACAGAACAGCCAGCAAGGAAGTCATGAAACCCAATACCAGTTAAAATGAGGCCAACACTAAATTCCAGTTCAACAAAGAGTTATAAATCATCCCTAAGGTCACTCAAACCTTACTTCTCCCAACTCACACAAGTATCTGAACTGCAATTAGCCAGTTTTCACAAAAAGCTTGAGAAACTATCAAATTAATGCCTGGAAATAGCATACGATGGCAAAGAGTAAATAAGATCAATTCCTGGTGGTGTTCCCACTAAAGTAGATAAAAAAATAAATGCACAGAACCATCTGCAAGCCAGCTATGGGCTCCATGCCTCGTTCCTGAATAGGCCAAGATTTGTCAAAGGGCTGTAGGAAAAACAAAAGACGGCCTGCTCTCTTCAGCCTCTAGAATTTTAAGGGAAAGAATACATGCACCAACTAGAATCAGAAGACCCACCCCTCTGAAAGGAAAGCAATTTTTATTCTAACATTTAGAACCACAGGAGTGTTCTCTTTACATCTCAGAAATTTCTTTAGGAGGAGTGTGTTTTCAGTTTCCACTGCTTTCTCTTTAAACTCTTATCTGTCATCATAACACCAGAACGTTATCCTAGTTTATGTACGCGAGTCGTGCAAAGCTAGTCACAAACCCTCACGTGTATACTACCTGGTCAGATAAAGTTAATCCACAAAAATACCAAAGGGAGCCTTGAATTTGCTTAGGCAGGAAAAAAAAAAAAGTCTCCAGAAAACTTTTAATACCCTCCCTTAAAATGACTAAAAATTAAAAAAAAAAAAAAAAAAAAAAAGGTAAAATTCCAAATCAGCGTTTCTCTTGAATCTAAGAAGAAGAAAGGATGCTACGTGTTATCTATGATGAAGCAGTGCTGCCTTCTTGCACATACATCCTAAGCTCCTGTAAGACTATGCTATTTTTGAGGTATTGGAGGTGTTTTGGTTTCGTTTGTTTGTTTGTTTTGAAACAACTGTATTTCCCAAAACAGAAATGACAGGAAATACTAGCTTACCTAACAGGTATCCGGGAGACAGACTCCCGCATCCGTCTCATTGTCAAGGGAGGTAGTGCAGGGACACCACTGTCACTGATATTTGAATTTGGGAACAATCTGAAATATCAACAAAAACAATTACAATTTCAACTGCTACACTACCTCCTGTACAATGCTCTTGAAAGCTGAAAAATTTAAAGGGCCGTTTCTTTCCAGCACGATTAACTTCATGAATGCAGTCATGTCTTTACATGGTATTTTCCCTCTGTGTATGGTACGACTGAAAACTGTCTTCAGACTCCCAGAGAAAGTTTCCATGTGTTCTTTCTGAATCGAAGATAGAAATCTTTTTACAGCACACTTCAGATTTTCCTGAAGGGGTCTTCAACACCAAATTTTTTAGGTTCTCTTAAACCCAGGTAGCACCAAGTGGCACAATTCATCCTGCACTCTCATGACTAGTCAGTAAAAGAGAATGCATAACTATATGACCAAGGTTAGTTATAACAAAACTACAATCACCAAGACACAAAATCAATTATAGGTTTTAACATTTTTTGCATAAAAGAACTTCTTAACTATGATTTTCAACGTTTCCTAGGCAATACTGGGAAAACAGGAGGGGTTGTACCAGATGACCTTTAAAGGATCCTTCCAACCCAAACCATTCTATGATTCTACGATCACAGTTTTCTCACCATTCCCTGCATTTTCGACAGGGTGGGAAAAGCTGTGGTAGTTCTGGACACTCGTGCTTCCAACAGCTAAAAACAAACTGAATCGTGACCTTTTTTCCCTCTAACAAGAAGTGTTATGCAAGAGGAATTCCTCTGTTGAACAGAGGGCATTACAGCAACTGCCTGGGTATTCAAGATCCTTGTTTGCTTGCCTCAGAACTTTAACATCTACAGCATAAACAAAATGCATTTAATGTAATCGGCCTTCTTCATCTGGGAACAGACAATCATTGCTGGCTGTTTTATGAACTCAATACACAATTTCTGTATATTGATCGAGGTGACTACACTTCCCAACAATCCAAACTTATGTCTATGATAAGGGATTTTTAAAAAAAAAAAAAAAGCTGAAAAACCAGAACACCCCACAACAAACCAATGCTTGTCTGTCACAGAGAATTACTGCTGCTATGAAAAAGGAACAGTCCTTACAAGAGTTGCCTGATATTGCTCCAGTCGACACACATGGTTGGGACTTTCGTGCTGCAGTGCTCGTGGAATTTATAACCGCACGTCTGACACCGAAACCCATTTAGCAGAAACTTTTGGCAGATGTCACAGAAAGCAAGCTTTAGAAAGGTCTTCCGAGCCTAGAAAACATATTAAACTATTAATCCCGTCTCCTGGCTTCTCTTCATTGGCTGAAATTAACATCTTCAGAGCTTGACATAAATACCATGTTAAAATGATATCAGTGCCCCCAAAGTGCTACTGAACTTCAAACCACACTTGAATACTCTTGCTTGCATTTCCAGCGCAGCTGGAAAGATGGAAAGCTTACAAACAGCTAGGGCTCGTTACCCAACCATTTAAAAAAAAAAAATTGAACAGAAATATAAATAAAAATAAAGGAAAAAAAGTGTTTTGTCAAATTCATAAGCACTATTTTGTGCTCAGTGAGGTGACAGCATTGGGTGGGCCAAGAATGTGTTTTTTTTTTTTTGTTGTTGTTTTTAGTATCACCAAGATGGTGAAGGAGGATCAGATCATAATGGTCACCTCATTTTTTTTATCAGTCAAAACGCTTGTGTGTTTATGACTAACCAATATCCCCCTTTGCATTAAAAACTCAATTCCTTAGTAAATAACATCATTTTAAGGAAATTCTACTTTTTAAGATGGCATCTAACATTTTTTTTAAACCTTCTGAAAAACAAAAAAAAATATTTATATGAACCAAAGGGTTTCTTCCCCCATAGCATACTGTGGAGGAAGAGTCAAAGTTTGAGCTTCCTCCCAGTCTGGAGAAAATTATTCATTTTCTAGTGACCAACTGCAGGTGATCTTATTTATAGTTTTCTAAAAATCTAAAGTAGAAGCAAAGCTACTTTTGGGGTTTTTAAAATCTGTCATAACCTTTCTAATGGATATAGATGATGACTCTTTAATTTTGCCACCTGGTACAATATATTTCTGGGACAAAACAACAAAAAGGCTAGGAGCCAGGAATAGAGTTCCTTCCCAGGGAGGACAAAATAAAACAAGGTAAACCTATTAGAGCTAGGCATTGACACTTTGTTAAAAAAAAAAAAAAAAAAAAAGGCAGCTTTATTTGCTCTCTACTGAGCAAATAATCAATTTTTGGGAAGAAACTACAAATTTAAGTCTTTCATTCCCCAAAACACTGTCAAACCACAAAGCAGCACCATCAGCCAAAGACTGAAAATGAAAGTTATCTCCCAGTTCTGGGGTTTAAAGACTTATCATCTTAATACGACAGCTATAAAAACATATTTATATCAAATTAAAATTGCAATCACCAGACCTTTGAAAAATATCTGTAATGTGAACTTTTAAAATCTCTGGCTAAATATCAATTTGCAATTTGCCAATCTAATTTGTGGGGGTGGAGGAATCAAACCACTTCTGAAATCCCCCAATGTGTTTAGAAAGCCAAAACACTAATGCCCAAAGCATTCTTTGACTGAATGTGTGGTTCAATCGACACAATCTCCATCAAAACACAGAAGAGGAAAAGCTTACAAAATTGTGTGTAGTGAGTGGAACATGATCAAGGAAGTCCACTTGCAGTTCCTCTCCAATCAAGGAGGCAGCGTCTGTATTCCAATCCAAACGCACTTTTTTTCTGCAAGAAAGAAAAAATGGGGGCAACAAAATTAACAAAATTACTTAGGAAATAAGTCTGGCCTAACCAATGATCTATGTTTTGTGAGTTTTCTTGAGTAAACTGAAAACAAATACAAAACAGTGTGTCTAACCTCTCACAGCAAGGTATATTTCAGTATTTTTCACTTAAAAAATTAGGAGTAGCTTTGAAAACATAGCGATTCATCTCTTCTTCTGTTTAATGTGTAAGTCATTCATATATATAGGTTATTTGAAAGAAGAGGCCTAGAAGCTGTAACAGAGTCACAGAAGCACCCTTATAAACACAAGGTAAGAAGCTGTGAACAGCAGGCTCATTTACGTGAAAGCCACGTTATGTGCTTCAGCACTGAAGTTAATGTTGACCCCAGAATGGACTCAGTTACACAGAGATGGAAACCCACAGAAGACTGAGGCTTAAACAAGCATTAAGCACAAGTCTTACGAGGTGTGAAGTTAAATGTATTAACTCCATGAGATACCTTCACCCTCTCAGCTTGTAAAAGAATCATTTGGTACTTAATAGCAGCATTCCCAGTCCTACAAAAAATAAGGAGTATCTGAAGTGAGATTTAAATCCAAACATCGAAAGACTGTAGAATGCAGAGCCTTAAAACTGAGTACACAGAGGAGATGTTCATTAAAGCTGGCTACGAATCACTAGTGCTGAAGTTCACCACCTAAAAGGAGAAAGTTTCTTTTGAGGAGAAAGGCATCTCAAACACAGTGGCACATCACATTGTTTCATCTAGAGTGTGGTAAAAGCCTCTGCAAGATGTTACGAGCACTTGAGTGCACTCCTCAATTCTGAGCATTGTTAATATTTAGCTTTAAAACAGAAGAATAAAATTGTAAATGCCCAGGAAGCTGGAGGAGTTGCCCTAGAGGAGGGTCAAGAAAGCCACATGGGAGTGTTCACAACCACACCGTGCTGTTAAAGGAAGCTAGCCAGAGAGTAGGAGGGCAGCGTTATTTCTGCAAGATGGCACACTCTCCAGCTGGAAGCGTGGCAGGCAAGACTGGAGACTCTCACCCCTTTGGTTCGGTGAGAAGCCGAAAAACCGCACAGCACTCTGGCTGCAGACCTCTCACTTTCAGCGCCTTCATCAGACAGTCATGCAGGGTCATCCCATTGCGCACGTTCACCTGCAGCCAAAGGGAAGACAAAAACCAGTCAGTGACTGCAGAACTTAAGCTTTTTTTGCAGGGGTGGGGAGGGAAGAAGCTGTTTTTTTCCTCCTTTTCTTTAGAATTTCCAGTAAAACAGCACAGCTGCTCACTTTCAAAGTTAATAAATTCACGTTGAACCAGCCCATTTTCTGCCCCATACAGAACTGCTCTGTACTTCTGCAAAGGGAGTTTTGAGGCCACTTTGTAACATTTCAATTCCTCACAATCACTAAGTTTCAGTGAAAAGGGACTTTACACAGCGCTTGTATGAGTAAGTAGTCTATAAAAGTAAGAGAAGTGCAGGCAAGCGGAGTTACCTCAAGTATAGAAAAAGGTTTAATTTAGATTTCAGGGAGCTTTGCCCGAGACTATTATTAGTTCACTCAACTCCAAGAAATCTAAGAAAAGTGTTCCCTCAAGAAGTTTCACTTCAGCTTCATCTACCACGCCTTGGTGAGGGCATCCAAGGCAAGAAAACTGTGACAGAAATTACTTAAGTGTTTTACTTCAGACAGGTAACATTGTTTAGGTCAGCCAGGTGTCTTTTCACCTTAAATAGAATCATAGAATCAATCATAGAATCAATCATAGAATCATAGGGGTTGGAAGGGACCTCGAAAGATCATCTAGTCCACCCCCCCTGCCAGAGCAGGACCACCTAGAGTACATCACACAGGAAGGCGTCCAGGCGGGTTTTGAATGACTCCAGTGAAGGAGACTCCACAACCTCTCTGGGCAGCCTGTTCCAGTGCTCCGGCACCCTCACAGGAAAAAAATTTTTCCTGATATTCACCTTGAACCTCCTATGCGCCAATTTGCACCCATTACCCCTTGTCCTATCACAGGTCAACACTGAAAAAAGCTTAATTCCATCTTCCTGACACTCACCCTTTACATATTTGTAAACATTGATGAGGTCACCCCTCAGTCTCCTTTTCTCCAGGCTAAATAGGTAAGGAAAGTATCTTCCTCATCAATATGGGAAAAAATACAGCATTGAGGTAAAGAAATCCAGGTTCTCAAAATACAAAAACACTGCTTTCAACAAACGTTCTGCAGAACAAAGGAGCTGATGACACCACGCTGAGCCACAGGCAGCCCTTTTGGGATGCTCAGTGTTCCTCCTGCCAGATGGGCCAAGGTCATACAGACTTACCACTGTGCGCTGCTTGTTGGGCAAGAAAACCCGAATGGTGTTACTGGTTTTGGAAGTATCTGATATTTTGCCATCATCAGATGCGCGGCGTTGATAACCAAACTGCTGGACGATCGTAGGTGAAATACAGTTCGGGCCATCAAAGACAGAATCCTTGAGTCCAAAACCATTACTGATAGTCTTCCAAGCTCCCTGAATGTGCTCCATTGAGGCAGTCTGAGAAACAAGAAGTGAGAGGGTCAGGGAAAATGGTAATATCATGCCCAGTGAGGTGGTACTCTCTCTTCCCAGGGCAACAGACCTCACAGCCTCTTTGGAAAGCATCTGAAAACCACGCTGCCTTCTCCATCAACCTACACATCCAAGGCACAGGTCACCCACACGTGCACAATCAGCCCAAATCTTGACAACGTGACTTCCTCCACATGGTCAGACACAGTAATACAAGCACTAGTTCCTCTCACTGCATCTCTGGTGTCACAGAAGCAGTTTACCATGGTGTTAATTTAGACAATCAATGCCTGTGGGGCCCCCAGAAAGGTGGTGAGATGCCAGCTACAGGCCACAAGAATAGTCCTGTAAGGCAGAAACAGCAAATCAGCATTAGCAGAGACTGCACTGCTGAGAAAAAGAGGCCCAACAGGAATTACACTAAAAAGTATTCATTGAATAAATTCTATTTTTATCAGTGAATTGGGGGCTTGGGTTTGGTTGGTTGGGGGTTTTTAGGGGTGGCTGGTTGTGGGTTTGGGGTTTTTTCTTTGTTTGTTGTTTGTGGGTTTTTTAAAGGGTAGCAAGTTTAATACTGTTAGTATACAACAAAATAGGTAACATTTTAATAGTATCACAGTTTACAGAGTATAAAACAAAAACAACAAAAAAAAATCCTAAGACCCCCAAATCCACACACAGTATTAGTTTGGTATGCTTAGGGACAAAGATAAAGGTATCAGTGTATTTTTTTTTACCAGCTATGACAAATGTAATGCACCCTGAACCCCAAATTATAGACTATATGGATCTTAGTCAAAACTAAGCAAAACTGAAGCCTGAAGCAGTTTTGAGCAGAAATGTGCTCCTTGGTAAACTTCCAAGTAGCCAGACTCATCATCAAGCTTAAAAAAAAAAAAAAAAAATATTAAAAAGACTGAAAATAAGCAATGTAGTTTATTTTCTCCATAAAACTGCATCCTTGTATAAACATCTGAGAAACTGTCTCTTTGTTGCAAATTATTTGAACCCTCCAATTCTATAGAATCTCTAGAAGAGACAAAAAAAGACAAGGAGCTCAAGTGGATTTCTCTACCGAGTAAGCTGAGATAAGGAGTAGCAGAGCAACTATCAAAGCCTCCTTGTTGTCACTGCTCATGTAAGTTGACAACACACTAATGTTACAGCCTTTTTAGTCAATATTTTGACATGCTGCCAACATTTCCTGAAAAATTCAAGAGAAAATGGGAAACTACAAAAGCCTCAGACCTGCACCTTGACAAAAGCTAAGTTGCACACCAGAAAAGGTGCTTCCCAACTCTAAGGGTGTTCTCTCAGCCAAGTAGGTGAGATCTCATGCGTAATACTGTAGAACAGACTACTAGAGAAGATCACAGAAACACACGTGGAGGTTGTTGCACACAGAAAAACAAAGACAGCAACTGCCATCAGCCTCCTGTACAACACAAATGTCAGTTGTATCTTGGATCACCCATCTGCATCCTTCTCTTCCCTCAGATCTTCACCTCCTCTCCTGGATACTCTCAGGCCTGAGCACATTTGGCACAACCCTCTCTTCCAGCAGTGTTCTGCTCTCTCTTCCCACCACGCCTCAGCAATGTGTGTTTGCCATCTCCTTGGCTGCAGCTGATGATTGTGTCCCTGGCAGCCTGGGTTGGCTCACAGATGTTGAGAGTTCTGTTTTTAGAAACTGAAAGTACCTCCTCACCTCAGCAGGCACATTTAAACCATGCCACCCCTGGGTCCTTCCTGCCTAAACTGAAGGCTACAGGTTATACTCACATAGCTCAAGAAGGAGCCACCGCTGAAGGGAGAAAGTGAGAAATCAGCTTAGATCTGGCCTGGAGTGGACAAAAACCTGCAAATGGCCTGAGGATGGCATGGAAGAGGAGAAGAAAGGGAAGTTCAAAAGATATTTGCAGTCTTCTGGGGAGAGACAGGGAATCCATGCTGAACCTTCTCTCGGCATCCATGGTACAAGGGCATGCAGTTGGAAAGGTGGAGCTGGTTGGAGAACAGCAGGAACCAGCTGCCCTGCTGCTGACTTCTGCAACTACTCAGAGGCAGCAACCCTGACATGGGATGACAGGAGGCTCCAAGTCCTCAGAAACCCCTTCTTCACTCAGGCCAAGAAGAGTCTAGTCAGGAACCCTTCTGTGCTGATACCACATGAGCACTACACATGTTCACTTCTCGGACCTGGTCGCTGCTCTTACTCCAAAATTACTATCATGGAAGAATAGAAACTGCCAATAAAAACTGCTTCTTAATGAGTAATTTACAAATGAATTACACCTTTCCCTTGCCCTCTAGTTTAAAGAAATTATGGGAATAGCTACAAAAACACCCACTTTGAACTCAGAGAGCTCACTGGAGACAAAGATAGGAGCGAAGAGAATTAGCACAGCAACTACTTGACCAGCTCTGAAGTGACAACAAACCCAGCAAACACACAATCACACAACTTAGCATCGCACACACACAATTTTTAGCTGAACATGGACCCAAGCACGAGGGCAGCAGACAGACCAACCGACCGAGCCCTTCACAGGACAGAGGTCAGAGCAGGTGAGGCAGGCCTGGCACAGCTCACCTTCCCACGGCCCGTCACCTGCACCCTGCACTGCTCCATTTGCTCATGCAGGGTCTTTTGCTCCAACCAGTAACTGATGAAAGCCGTTCTACCAAAGCTAAGTCCATCTTCTCCACTCTCCCAAGATGCACACCAACCCACTCCCGTGAAAAGATGTCCGGTATGTTCAAAAGAGAAATTTGATTTAAAATAAAGTATGAAAGATTTTACAATGATGCCTTTATAAATACATTAATTCTTAGTTTGTTCCAGCAAGACTAGCTTTTCTTCCTTTAAATGAATTACAAGCATGTTTCTGAACCATAATGATACCAGATATGAGATCCACACTTATGCCATGCTCAGACAATCCATTGCCAGCTGAGTGTTTTCATGTATCTTTCTAAAATTTTTTCTAAATTTTTCTTCCTGTAATGCTTCATTTTCATGCAAACAACTTCAAACAGCCTGGCTACCACTGAAAAGATGCAACAGCAGCATATCCAAAGAATATTTTAAGCTATTAAGAGTACACCAGTCCCCTCGCAGATCAGCACAACTAGGGAACATGCTGATCCCTTTCACAAGAAATATCCAACCTGAGCAGAAAAAAAAAAATCTTCTAGTATTCCTCACCCTCCCCCAGGCACGCTGCACACCGAGGCCAAGACTCCATTCTTCGTTAGTGCCTTTTGCACAGATGACAGATTTTGATTAGTCATTTGAGCAAGCACAAGAGGGCTGTGCAATGTGCACAATTCCTGCAGATCATTCACCCATACCCACCCCGGCCACATACTCATATCCAAAAGATACTTCGAGTGACTTTTAAGTTTTTCCATGACCAGCAAAAAGTGCCTAGTCTAGAGCGTTAAAAACTTCAGTCTGTCCCCCTAAAGAATGCTGAAATTGGTCGTGAAGCTAAACTCCCCTCAGTACAGAGTTTAGGTGCCTTGCCCTTTCCTTTATTTCTGAAACAAGCACCAAAAGCTTGTAAAGAAAATGTAAACACAGTTCCCCCTCCCAACACAGACGTGCTGCTGTTTTTATCCCCACAAACAATTAACAGTCACACTCTTAATGAAATGCACATACAGAGGCAAAACATGACAGAACAAAACCCAGAATCCTTTGCAATCTGAACACTTTGGTTAGAATATTTAAGCTTTAGGAGTTGCTTATAAGAAGTGTTTTCATCTCTGACACAGCTGTGATCCATGTAACATGAACAGAGGGCGCGAGTTAGGATCAGGCTAACAGGCCAAGCAGATCTCTCATACATCTACAAAGTTGGCTTTTTTCCTTCAATGTCCTTCATTTTGAGAGATTCACACCAAAATGCAAGCTCCCCCCAACAGAACTGACAAAAAAAAAATTAAACATTAACAGGAGGAAATGTTATTGTTCAAGGAAAATAAAAATAAAAATAAAATAAATTAAAAAAAAAAAAAAAAAAAAAAACCAACACCAGCCCAAGAACAAAAACCCCACCAATACTGAAAGACTACACAATTCCTGCCCTGGCTGTCCAGACCCCCCAGCAGTCTCTTTTCTCACCTGCCTTTCTCTGCACTACGCGTTTCTTGCTCACTATTTCAGCTGCTGGGCTGCTAAGGTAACTCTGAAGTATCTCAGGAAGAAGTAAGGCTGCTTTTCCAGCCCCTGGACTCTGCAGGAGGGAGGGCACAAGCAACACAACCCACAGCCTGATGCCTTCAGACTGCCAGAGTCTTTGCAAGACTAACACCTCTTTGTACTGAGGAGTAACTCCCAAGCAGGACTGTGGCCAGTGAGCAAGAACCCAGGGCTAGTGAGCAAGAGCCCAGCCTTAACACCTGGCTGCAGAAGGCTGTACTTTGGACTCGGGTTCGTAGTTATTTGCCCCCAGACTAGCTGCACTTTAGCTGCTCTGTGCCTGTTCTCTGTTCATCAGAGTGGCTCCAGGCTGCTCCTCCTAACCAATTTTTAGGAAGAGCTCTTTGGTTTCTACTTTCCACCCTGATCACTCCCATGTCAGTCACCCTTTTCTTTCCATATGGAATCTCTACCAAATTCCTATGCACAGCTCTGTGAGCTTCCCTAGAAAACCTGAGAAAACATTCTTCATTAGAGAAATGCTCATTATAGAAACGGGAGCACTGAACACTCTGCTTGTATCAAAAAGACTACAAAGGGACAGAGAACCCAAACCCTTCCCTTTCCCAAAGCAAAATAAGCAATCCCAGGTAAAAAGAAAAATGCAGTGGGTGTTTCCAAGCACTCAAGCAGGACCTTCTTGAATTTTAGTGAAGTACAGCTGCTGAGTTTATAAAGATTCACAAAAAAGTGTATTAAATTCCTATGGAATCAGCAATGAAAGGAAAAGGCAAGCAAAGAAAGCACATAAATTTTGCACATATATTTCGTACAAGTTTTGTTATCAAAGCACTAAAACTCTGTCATGGAATAAAACTTGCACTTCATTTAGCATAATAATTTTAAAATTTATCTTATAATCCAAATAGATAAATATTGAGACATGGTCACTCCACGTTTTCAATGCAGCTCTCTTAACATCACAGTCACTATTAGAGCTGAAGTGACATTTAAGGTGTTCTCAATTTATAGTTTGGCACAATCAAATGCCTTACTAGAAATAACAAGCAGACACCACTTTCTGGTATCTGGTGGGATCAGAATCACATTTTACAACACACTCGCCACACTCGGACTTCTTGTTTTATCTACCACAACATCACATTCTTCACAGCAGAATTCTTCAAAGAGAGTCAGGAGGCTCTGCAGAGGGATCTGGACAGGTTGATTTGATGGACCGAGGTCAACTGCATGAGGTTCAACATGGCCAAGTACTGGGTCCTGCACATGGGTCACAACAACCCCCTGCAATGCTCCAGGCCGGGGAAGGAGTGGCTGGAAAAGGCTCTGGGGCTGCTGGTGGCCAGCCAGCTGAATGGCAGCCAGCCTGTGC